GCTAAGGTTGTAAGTCCACCATAGTAATTGTTCCACCAATTCAAATGTGCCCTAGACCCTTCATTTCTCACAATAAGTGATTGTTTGAGCCACATTATTTTTAAAAAAATACATTCTTTAACAATGATTTGATATCATTTCAATCGCACATTCTTTAATAAAATAATATTATATGTAAACTTAAAACTTTTTCTTATTTTTTAACCAAACATTTTCTATTGATTTGACATAAATAATGCATTTTTCTTCCTAAAATGTGACTCAAACATGGACTAAATATATTCAAGAAAAATGATGTGTTGTACACATTTACTGCTTTCTCACAAAATGTGGGGTTCGTGATTAAATTAATCGCAGCTCCACTCCTACATGTGAGAGGATTGTCAAAAAAACTGTCAAAAATTATATACTTGTAGCACGTCTCTAAATTCAATAATGTTGCATATACACGAGTTGCTCGTGTGCGGGGAATGTAGAACAAAGGGCATAATTCAAATAAATTTCAGTGTGAATATATAGTTTTTTCTACTTCTTAATTACAATTTTTTTTTAAGTTATTTCTTACAAAATTTCTACCAAATGGAACTAAAAGGAAATTACTTGGACAATTTCTTTTAGAAAGAGTCCATTTGGAGGGGGTACTTTTTTAAATAGCTTGGTCAAACAACCAAATTTTCGTTTTGACCATTTTTTTTTTGTATTCACCACATTGGCCTATTGTCATTTTATTTTATTTGGGTTTTGGCGCAATAACCAATTCAATCACCATCCCTTTCTGACCCCTCATTATTTTTTTATTTTTTTTTTTTATACCCAAGTATCCCAGATTCGTCAGACTAAATCCTAAATCTCTTGTCACCGGCCCCTCAGTGACTCGAGGAGGTAAATCGCAGATTATGTCCTTGTTGAATCCCAAGTTCCCACTTGGTTTATACTCTTGGCCCCAAGAGAGCCTTCCTCCACAATGATTGCTCCATACCAAATTATTGGCCGCAAGTTTCCACTAGGAATCGAACTTTCCACGCTAAGGTTGTAAGTCCACCATAGTAATTGTTCCACCAATTCAAATGTGCCCTAGACCCTTCATTTCTCACAATAAGTGATTGTTTGAGCCACATTATTTTTAAAAAAATACATTCTTTAACAATGATTTGATATCATTTCAATCGCACATTCTTTAATAAAATAATATTATATGTAAACTTAAAACTTTTTCTTATTTTTTAACCAAACATTTTCTATTGATTTGACATAAATAATGCATTTTTCTTCCTAAAATGTGACTCAAACATGGACTAAATATATTCAAGAAAAATGATGTGTTGTACACATTTACTGCTTTCTCACAAAATGTGGGGTTCGTGATTAAATTAATCGCAGCTCCACTCCTACATGTGAGAGGATTGTCAAAAAAACTGTCAAAAATTATATACTTGTAGCACGTCTCTAAATTCAATAATGTTGCATATACACGAGTTGCTCGTGTGCGGGGAATGTAGAACAAAGGGCATAATTCAAATAAATTTCAGTGTGAATATATAGTTTTTTCTACTTCTTAATTACAATTTTTTTTTAAGTTATTTCTTACAAAATTTCTACCAAATGGAACTAAAAGGAAATTACTTGGACAATTTCTTTTAGAAAGAGTCCATGCATTGTTTCATGAGTTACTTAAGCGCTGTTTGTCACTCATTATTTTACATTTTATCAAATTATTTTTCTACAATACTCATTTTCAATCATGCATTCTTCATTGAAATAATATTACGCATAAATAAATAAAAAATCATTCTTTCTTAATTATACATTCTCAATCAATCTACATTCTATAATACATTTTTCAAAATAAAAAAGGGCTCAAACACACCCAAAGTAAATAGTCTGGAGTGTAGTTTTTAATTGTTTTGTTGCCATAGAAATATGTGTACTTTAAATCTATTGAATAATATGATGATTATATGTTACGTAAGCATTTATAGATAAAAATGAATGGAGATAAAGGAGAAATATGACACAATTATATAAAACAACTCAATGCAAAAGTCTCGAGTAGTTTCATAAATAAGAATTGAGGGGCACGACTCCATGCAATGTAATAAAAAGCCAACTCAACACGCATATCAGGAGCAATAACACAATCTAATGATCAAACACATTTACTGCTCTCTCACAAAATGTGAGGTTCGTGATTAAATTAATCGCGACAATCAAAAATGATTTACTTGTAGCATATCTCTAAATTCAATGCTACATATACACGAGTTGCCCGTGTGCAGGGAATGTAGAACAAGGGGCATAATTCAAATAAATTTCAGTGTGAATATATAATTTTTTCTACCTCTTAATCACAATTTTTTTTTAAAGTTATTTCTTACAAAATTTCTACCAAATGGAACTAAAAAGAAATTACTTGGACAATTTCTTTTAGAAAGGGTCCATGCATTGTTTCATGAGTTATTTAAGCCCCTTTTTGTCACTCATTATTTTACATTCTATCACATTATTTTTTCTACAATATTCATTTTCAATCACACATTTTTCATTAAAATAATATTATACATAAATCAAAAAAATTTCATTCTTTTTTAATCGTACATTATTAATCAATCTACATTATATAATACATTTTTCAAAATGGCATAATTCAAATAAATTTCAGTGTGAATATATAATTTTTTCTACCTCTTAATCACAATTTTTTTTTAAAGTTATTTCTTACAAAATTTCTACCAAATGGAACTAAAAGGAAATTACTTGGACAATTTCTTTTAGAAAGGGTCCATGCATTGTTTCATGAGTTATTTAAGCCCCTTTTTGTCACTCATTATTTTACATTCTATCACATTATTTTTTCTACAATATTCATTTTCAATCATACATTTTTCATTAAAATAATATTATACATAAATCAAAAAAATTTCATTCTTTTTTAATCGTACATTATTAATCAATCTACATTATATAATACATTTTTCAAAATAAAAAAAAGGCTCCAACACACCCTGAGTAACGCATCTGGAGTATAGTTTTTAATTGTTTTGTTACCATAGAAATGTGCGTATTTTAAATCTATTGAATAATATGATGCGTTCAATTATATGTTAGGTAAGTGTTCATAGATAAAAATGAATGGAGATAAAGGAGCAATATGACAAAGATGACATAATTATATAAAACAACTCAACGCAAAGGTCTCGAGTAGTTTCATAAATAAGTATTGAAGAGCACGACTCCATGCAATGCAATAAAAGGCCAACTCAACGCACATTTCAGGAGCAATATCACAATCTAATGATCAAACACATTCAATTTAATTGTGATACCTACTTAAAAAAATAGCAAAGGTCGAATTTAAATTTGCAAAAAGTCACTTAGTTATGGTATTACAAGTACCACGTGCATAATTCAATATTGATACTTGATAAATAATAAAAATCGTACTTAAGATTGCAGATCGATACATAATCACAAATATCACATTCTCTACATTAGTCGCCTTAATTACCTCGGGCAGGCACAATGCATGTGAACTAACCAATTCAATCACTCTCTTTTTGCCCTTTTTTGGGAGATATTTCCTAACTTGTTGGAGTTGTTTATTCTTCTTAAGGGAATTTATTGCGACGAATACTGAGAAAGAATAAAATTTTACTGGGGTGTTTTTATAAAGTTTGGACCGTAGTTTAAATTGTTTTTTATTGCGGTTGAAACACATCATACCTCAACATTAATACCAAGTCAAGCTTTCTTTTAAGTAAAAATGGCAAAGCGTGTCATCATTAAAATATTGAATGTCTCGAGTATGATGTTAAGAGTATTTTTACAATATTCTCATCCACCCCCGAAAATTGAATGATTACCAATTATTTTCCCAAATCTGGCCTCAACTTAATTGGCCTAGTATAAGTATTCATGTTTCTATTTATTAGATGTTGAATCATTATTACTCTAAAGCAAATTGTCTTTGCATGCGGAAATATAAGTGTAGATGCTTTATCAAAATGATAATTTCCAAGAATGGAGAAGCCAAAGCTTACTCTTAGACGAATGGGAAAAGTCAAGCGGGGTGAGCGGGGATGGTGCAACCTTTCAAATTTCAACAATAAATGATACATTGCAACGTTTATTTAAGAGACAAGTTTTTTAATTTTAATTTGAACCATAAATATTTAAATCAAGCAACATTACAAATTCATGTATAAAGAACGCGTTAGAATGTTGAGAAAAATATAGGGAAATCTGAATACTTAATGAACTTCAAGGCACGAAAAAAACGTTATCTTGGATATGATGGAAAATCTCTCTCAGGATACAATGGAGACGTTTGATTCAAATTGTGACTATTTGATCAAACTAAGAAGACATTCGAAAATAACTGATTGATGCAAAGAGAAAGAAAGAAGAATAATTTTTTAATGTGTTTTGCAAACGAGAATTCGTCCAAAATTTATAGAAATTGAGGCAGCCGTTTGAACAGGTGTGTCCCTTGAAATCCTTGCGTATATCTACTGAAAGTGACTGTTAAAAACGAGCAGATGCACATATTCAAAGACTTCTAAAAATAAAACGAACAGGTCGATCCTCGTTGCATAACGGCAAACACTAGTCGGGACGGCAAATCATTCGCAAAACAAAAAATAAATACGTGCAAAATGATGAAAAATATCTAACATAGACTAAGCTCAGAAGTAGCATTTCTAGGTGCTGCTCTTAGTTCTAATCATATATTTATCTCCCAAAATTCCAGCATATTAGACAAACATATATAAATCAGATGCCAATTTTGGCTAATCTCGGTGACCGGGAAGGGTAATATTTGAAATTCGGTCATCCATCGATGGATATGCACTCCAGGATCTTAAGTTAACGGCTTTGTTACAGGATAGATGAGATCTTCACATCGGAAAAAAGATGTCTTCAGAGCTATGTTCACACCAACTGATCTTGTGTTTCTCTACTATTTTCATACAATTAGTGAAAGCAAAAAAGTGAAGACCATATGATGGAACAGTATCTCAATGAAGATTCATTCAAATGGTATTCTATTCAAGTACTGAAATTGATCTATTGCCCCCAATGAAAAGGATTAAAACTTTTCACTACTGACATGGCAAGAGAACCTGAACAGTGGAAGTTTTAATCCGGTAGAAGATCAGGCCTGATTCAAGTATTTCGACAAATATATATGTATGTAAAATTCCCCATCTGAGCAATCAATCTGACATTGCTTATTTTTGTCAAGATACCGATACAATTTACAGAAATCCCACACTAGAAACAACCGTGCAAATAGTTCAAATCCACACTGACAGTTCAACGCAGCCAACTCCTCTTTCCCATATCGAAATCAAGATCTAGCTGGAACAAAACCTCACGAACAGTCTATTTCTGTTCCTTTTGAACTTCGGAACCATTTTGCTCTGGGATTGGTTGAATTCTCACGTACGGTTTTCTAGTCAATGTCTCCCCCCTCAGAGCAGCAACATATCTGTCATTGGTGTCCTCTTTTCTCTTCAGTTCCCCAAGATATTCTCCAAGCCGCTCTCTATTAACTTTACCCATCATCTAATGAACAATCCAAGGCAATTAAATCAGACGACACTCAAACTCAACATGAATACTATTCAGGACTAAATATAAGATGAGGAAGATTCAAAAATAGACTACAGACGTAAATAAACAACTATGAATTTTGTATACAATCACGTTTCCTAATGCCAAAGTTCCATGGCAATCAAATACAGGATGACATATTTTCAAAAATTTTGTACAAAATTCTTGAACAAAACAATGTTACTACATTAGAGTAACAGAGTTAACTTTTAACACCATAATCAGACCGAACCACTACAAGCATATCAACCTTTATCTGGCCAAACACGACGAAATTACACAGTTAAAGTAACTTCTCTTTCCACGTGGTCAAGAACTTAAGCCACTGAGACGACCTCAGGGACAAGAAAATTAACCATAGACTCATAAATATTAGATAATATCTGTACGTAAATTCTGTAAAATAATTTAGTGTCCAGGGACTGGTAAATTCAAAAGTTGAAAATTACTGGTAGTTTATTGATCGATTTTTATCTAGACATAAATTACAACATCAAGCTTGCAATTCTTAATTATGCAAGTTTTTGTCTTTCTACAGTTCTCTACAATTAGTCCCACACGTAATTTCCTTGTTGAATCAAACAACACGTCCTATTTAGAAGCTTTTCTACAGATTCAGAAGAGCGATCTCTTCAAACTTCAATACGCAATTATGGATATGCCTTGCTACAACTGACAGAAACAGAGACAAGAAAGCCATTAGTAATAAACCCATTTACCAGTTCTCATGGACATCGTTGTACTAAGCTGTCAAAATTACACAAACAAAGACATATAAAGAATTATAACACCGAAGAAGACGTAGCATTGAGCTCTAAAATTCTAGCTTACATTGGAATTATTCATTTTTATCATTGGATAATAGACCATTTGAAACGGGTGCAATTGGCTCCTTCAGAGTGCATAAAATCAAATTCTATGCATAGAAATATAATAAGTCAATATTAGTCAAATCTCAACTTTTGAAAGTGTGGGTTCTTCTGCAATATATGTAACTTCGAGGATTACACTAAAATTGTGAAAAGTTCGACATGGGCAGGGGAAGAAGGGGATCCTAATTCTTCAGAAAGAAAGATAAGTTAGGGTTCGATGAGGATCAGAACTTACTAGAGATTCAGGGCGCGCAGACTGGCGGAGTTTGGCTTCGAGGTCAGGGTTGCGGGAGCTCGTGAGTTGCATAACGCAGAAGCCTATAACCCCCGGAACGACGCCGCACACGGTGGCGAATGCGAGGAAAAATGGCTTCGAATCCCTGGTCTTCCTTACCATCCACCTCCATGTACCGCTCTTCTCCCACAGAATCGACATTTTTCCTTTACTACTGATTCTGATTACCCTATTTCAGCAATTACGGGTCCAATGTGTATACATTTATTCTAATTGAAAACGCCAATTTAAAAGAGCGATTTTGTACCAACAGATTCGATGCGGTTACGTACGTGAAATTGGAGTTGGGCCGGGGGTTCATGAGCAAATCAAGCCCATTACAATTTGCTTGTGAAAAGTTCCTTTTTAGTTCAATTTTAAGGAGGCAAGTGATCAAATAAAAAGAAATTTTACAAAATAAACCCTCTAAGTATGGATTTGAACTTTAAATATGTTGCAAATTTTATATTTTATTATGTGCCAGTTTGGTTTGAATTAAAATCTTATTTTGATTTAAGCCTAAGTCAAACAATTAATATTAACAACATTTTTTTATAGGTCACACAACTTTTCAACCATACATTTCAAAAACTTATATCACAATCTATTAAAAAATCTAATTTTAATCTCCACCAAACACCATCTATATATTATCTCCTTCTAAAATTAAAAATAACAAATTACTCTATTTAAATTATATTAAACACTTATTTGGTAGAAATTAAAATAAAATTTTTAACAATTTTTGATAAAAGTTGAATAAATATGTGGTTGAAAAGTTTTGATTCCCATAAAATATTTGATTGAAATTAATTTTTGACTTTGATTTAAATTAAAATCTTGATTTTTATCCCACCAACAGGTGCTAGGATTGTTTGACTGATTTTTTATAAAAGTTTTAATAGCTTTTGTAAAAGTTAATCAAATATATGGTTAAGAAATAATAAAAGTAGAGAATCTCATAAAATATTTGATTGAAACTAATTGTTAACTTTTACATTAACTTTTTAGCTCTTTTTGAGTTATATCAAACAAGCAACAAGCAATATTTTACATGTTAAAACTATTTTTTATTCTTCAAATATTTGAACACCATTTCATTTTACATTTAAAAATTGAGCCCCCTGTTTGACCCATGTTCTCTAAAAATTCATTTTTTTCCTCAACTCATTTTCAACTACATATACTTTCAATTAAATAATTTTGCATATAAACGTAAAAACTTTTCCCTACATAGAGGTCAACCCTCCATTGTCTAGGTGAGCAACTATAACCTTCTGCAGGATAAATCCAACGCAATTAGCTTCTTTATTGAGAGAAGACATCTCTCACTTCACATCTATCAAGAGATCTTCAATGATGTGATTTTTGTGTAGCGGACGCTTTTTCACGATCAACTTGTCAGTCTACTTTTCAAAAATCAAACCTAGGCTATAAGGTGTTTAATTTCAAATACATTAATGCTCCTTAACCTATGCTTAGGGATGGTAGTGGGTCGAATCAAGCCGACTTGACTTGACTCGGGCTTGTGGCGAGCCGAGCCCACGAGCGGCTTGCGAGCTCGTGAATTTATTTATTTATTTATTTTTATTTTTTTTTGCAAATTTTATTGATAAAATTTTATTTTTTTCCACATTTTTTGACAAGCCGGCTCGTTGGACGAGACCCCCCCACTCGGCTCGAGCTTGGGCTCGTCAAGAGGGGGGTCGAGCTCGGGCTCGTCATTTCAACCTACGAGCCGAGTCGGCTCGACCCAATTGACATCCCTACCTATGCTTGATGAAGTGACTTCAAAGAAGAAGTCTCGACCATCAAGATAAGCCACGTGCCGTTTCGTTCAATAGGATGAAAACAACATGCCTTTTCATCTAAGAGGATGATGTCGAGAGGCGAGTGATGATTGATATATAACACTTAAAAGGACCACTCGAGGATAATTGAAGTATGAACAGGCAAATCCTAGTTCCAAGAATCTCTTGGAATTTGGCAAATATTCTTGCACGAAAGTTTGCTGGGTGGAGTGTAGTTCCATGTTGGCTCAACATCAATAAAAACATTGATAGAGGTTTATTGTGCATCAAAAAACCGGGTGAAGGATATAAGGGTCGAGACGAATTCAGGATTGTACTTAATTTTTTTTAAGTACCCATGTAAAAAAAATTACACATAATTTTTTAACTTATAATTAATATTATTAACCCTTGAAATTGGGGGAACTGGACTAGACTCTAAGCCCCGTTTGGCCTCCATTAATTTTCATTCCATTACATTTTATTTTTCGCATTCTTATTTTCAATTATACAATCTTTCATAAAATAATATTACATGTAAATCGAAAACTTTTTCTTTTTTTTCAACTACTCATTTTTCAAAAAAAAACTATGTCCACCTGCAATCCCAATGCACCATTCAATCATGTCATCGAAGGACGATTTTTGCGACTTAGACTCTGCTTTGTCCCTTTGCAGGAGCATGGGATTTGGATCTGCCAATTTTGATAGGAAGATGATTGGTGTACAATGTAGGGGTTTACAGAACCCCTACAGATACCTCACATGGGCAGAGTGGATGGGTGAGTTTTTTGACATTATTTATTTATGTGGGGTCCACAATTTGTGAGATATTTGTAAATTTTCTGTAAGAATTTCTCTGTACACCAAACATTACTCATTTTGATAACTACTATTGCATGTCTTAACCCCTCTTTGGGCTCTTTTTTAAATACATTTTTCCTATTTGGGCTCTTTTTTTAAAAAAAAAATTATTTTCATATATTTTTTTATTAAATAATATTACACGTAAATTCAAAAAAATTTTTATCTTTTAACTACACACTCTCTACAAAATTACTATTTTAATTATTTTTCTTCAAAATGACATTAAAATGGAGCCTGAACAGGGGACTCTGTTTACGGTGACAACTGGAATCGGTGCTAAATTAAACCCACGTGATTTTTATGGCAAATAAATGAGGAATTAATTGGATGCTCTGGAGGCCAGGTCATGTTCATATATTATCAATTGAAACATTTGTCGGTTTAAGTTGGCTATCAAATAGAAATTGGCTGACAAATATGAAACAATCGTACAAGTTGGCAGGGTGACCTCGGTAGTCGCTCCAAATTTTGACAAAGAATGAAACACATTTATTTCTCCTTTAACAAAACCCATAAAATCATATGTTTTTCTTGGGTCGTTTAGCACGTTTGGTCCATTTTTTTTTTTAATTCATTTTTCAAAATTTATTTTATTAATAAATTTAATTGAATCTATAATTTTTATCAATTTTTTAATCACATATTTCATCAAACTTTAACAAGATATATTAAAATTTTGATTTTAAATAAGATGAATGCCCTCAATTGAGATTGTGATGGATTTTAAAAATCCTTCTAAATTAAGCGTGCTCAATTGAAATTTTAATGTATTTTAATGAAATCCATTAAAATACATTAAAATTTAAGTATTTCCAATTGAGATTTTAATGAAATTCAATGAAATTCTTTAAAATTTAGATATCCAAAATAATTAGTAAATTTATAAATATTTCATTAATAGAGAAATTTTACAAAATTTGGATGTATTTCAAGTTTAAAAGTACGTATAATCAAATCTTTTGAAATTCCACAACATTTGATCAGATACTTATGGAATTTAATTGCTATTAAATAGGGGCTTAATAAATTTTATTAAAATTTCAATTGAGAACTCCGAAATTTAAAAAGATATTTAAAATTCATCTCAATCTCAATTGAGTACACCTTCCCTAACTTATTTTCACGAGTGAAATAAGCAGGCCAACAATTAGTTGATACAAAATTCTTGTGCATAACACTTGTTCACAATGAAATAAAGCATTTAATCATTTATACATTATCGACTCCATTGCCGATCGCATCATTCTTGCGCTCCTCTTCGTCCATGGTGTCGCAAAATGTTCGTCCCCTTGTTTCCGGCAGGCATACCACGAAAAATCCACATACACTTATTGTTACCCCAAATACTCCATATGACAGCAGCCCATTCTTTCTACCGGCAGCCACCAGAACCGGGCTGAAAACACCTCCGAACACCAGTGCCTGCCTCACCATCGACACCGCCGAGTTTCTCACGCAGGTTGGAAACAATTCCAAAGTATAAATCAATACCACGTCGAATGCAGCGCACGCGCTGAAAAACGACACCAGCTCCAGTCCGATTTGCATCATCTTCCACCTAACCAAAACGCATGCTACACTGCAAATTCCACTCAATAGAGCCAATCCCAGAACTGAAACCTTCCGGTCTAGTTTTTCGATAAGAAAGAAGGTGAGAAATGAAGCTGGAAATTCAGACAGTGCGTTTAATGTGACACTCCAATATAGATCAAAATCCAAGTTGCCAAGGCCTAATGGCATGCCGTAATAGATCATTCCGACTCCGAAGGCAACCACCATAACCGCCATTAGTCGCTGGAAAGCCCAAGATTTTTGCAGCAAGATTTTCATTGCGGAGTACATGTCAGTTTCTTGAGATTCCTCCTCCCACTCGACGCACCTACCGAAGAAACTTTGGGTTAAGCTGCTCTGGTTAGCCGGTGCAGCAATGCTTCTCAATGTTTCTGCAAATTCTTCCTTCCGACCCTTGACGTAAAGCCAACGGGGAGATTCACGAACTAGAAAATACAAGAACACCGAGTAAAATGCTGATGGAACGCAAGTCCAGAGGTAGAGAAGTCTCCACGAGGAACCTCTGATCAGATAAGCAACCCCAGGTAAAGAAAGAAACCCGATAGTAAAACAGATGAATCCTATGATCCCAACATTTCCTCTCCATTTTTTTCCAACGAGCTCTGTCGAAAGAACAAGAGCACAAGTTCCAATAGTTGCCCTGCCAAAACCACTAATAAATCTCAACGCGGTATACATCCATACGTTGGTGGAGAGTGCGGTAAGGATTCCGGTTAGGGACATGAACATGCAAGATAAAACAAGCATGTTCTTCCGGCCTAAAGAGGAATCAGCTAGAGTTGCAAGGACGAATCCACCAGCAAGGCAGCCCAAAAAGAACGAAGATGCCGGTAGGCCAGTGATGATCGAGCCAGCACACTCAAGAGACCACTCGGAGATGATGGATGTGTAAGCAGGCAAATCCCAGTCCCAAGAATCCCTAGAGATTTCGCAGATATTTTTGCAAGTTGAATTACTCAGTGAAGCCGTACAGTGCCATTTTGGTTCAGCATCAGTA